GTCCCAGTGGGAAAGGTGCATAACAAAGTGCAATCACAAAAAAGTGCAATCACAAAAAGACTTATCATCCATATAAATGTGAACAATATAATGGTGAAACAAAATAGGAATAGAACTGAGAGCATGAAAATCTGAGGTTCAAAAAATAATTGATGAATTGGAAAAAATTGATAAGTTTAAAAAAACAATTAATTTAAAAATGCTTTTGAAAAGCAGTTATAAAACATTGAAGGATAAAAGTGTATATTTAAAAAAATAAATTTAATTAAAAGTATACGGCTTCCTGAGGTTCCTAGTTGGTCTCCCATACAAGTACTAAGCAGGCCCAAGTCTGTATGACTTCTGAGATCTGACGAGATCAGGCACTTTTAGACTGGTATGTCCGTAGGCTATAATTAATTAAAAAATGTATTCATATAAAATGAAAAATATATAAAAAAATATATATACATATGATTCATTATTTTAAAAAATGGCAAATTTCAAAGTCATTGTTCAGGCCATATGGAACCATAGTATTTAAAGTAAAAATCCATTGCATCTCAGCCTTCCCTATTTTTTTCTATGAAATCCCCTCCCCTCCATGTTCTCGAGATTCGTTGGATTGCAATAAAACATAATTGTGTAAAATCAGCCTGATGGTGTTGTGCAAAGTGTGCTGACACTTGGTGTAGCGCATATTTCCTCTTTATGTTATAGACATGCTCACCTATACGTGTGTATAACGGTCTCATCGTTCGTCCTACATAATGTAGACCACATGTACAGGTAAGTAGGTATATAACGTTTTTGGAACTACATGTTATACCTTCCTTTATTCGGTATGTGATATTATTGACAGTAAAATCCTTAACATGTTGCTTTTTACTTCCTATTTTTTTGCACGTACTACAATACCCACATCTAAAAAAACCCTGTTGTTGATTTAAAAAATTCTCCTGTTGGTGTGGTTCATCTAAAACATTTTTTTTTTTTTTTTTTTTTCAGTGATCAGTCAGTTTATTCTCACGTTAGACGTCAACCTGCATGTATCTTGTTTATATCCAATAACATAAGCCCGAAACCAACATAAAAAAATTCACTGCATGTTTTCTTTATAATGTCTCTTATACCCACCACAGAGAGGGGTGATCCTGTCAGAGCTGGAGAAGCCTGCAATAGTACGAGCCAAAGTATCGATGGTTGATCATCCTGCCAAAGCTATCGCTATTCTCTTGGCATTTACACAGAAATATGCACCCTTCTACGATCATAGGGCAGCAACAGGCTGTAGGCCACTGTGGCAACAAAAGTGGTCATAGATGACAGCTATGTGGAGATAAAGGATTTAAGTTTGACAAGAGGCTGAAGGCAGTCAAGATTTAAAGTTGCAGATGAGCAACAAATTGCAGGCTTCTCAGGTGCTGAAGGAGTAGTAAAAAAATGTTGCGTGTCAGGAACCACGTTTGCTCCCTGCCCGCTACAATTTATCAAAGAAGAGCTAGAGCTGCTTCGGAAACGGGGTTGGGAAGAAGAGAAAGAAAAGTTTAGGCCTGTATCCTGAGAGATGTGGCTCCCCTCTTCTCACGCCCATGTAACAAAATAAAACAGGAGTGGGGTGTGCAGTGCTGTTCTGACTGAGGAATGAAAAGCTGAGTGTCCAATAACATAGGAATTTCTTCTCTGTACAACATGGACGGCACCAAGGCCCCACCTAGCCATAGAGATCATCTTCTTCTTCAGTAAAATGACTTCCACCAGTACCTCCACCTGCACCTGGACTCGGACCAGCTCCTCCCTGGCTACCAGAGGGAAATCTGAAACTGCCAAATCCACGGCTCTGTTGCAAGGTCTGTGCAAACATTTCATACTTTCTAATGTCGTTATCACTGACTGAGCGACGGGCAAAACGCATAGCTTCCTCAAAATGATCCCGGCGAATTTCAGGCACAGGATCATCCTCCTCTACTTCCATAGCTGATGGGTTAGTTTGCCTCTCACGCTCCCTTTTTATCTCATTTTCAATGGATTCACGGATGGCTAGCTTGCAGGCACGTTGACAGATCTCCGTAAGATCGGCACCAGAGAAGCCATTTGTCATCATGGCCAGGAAGTCAATGTCAACATCTTTGGCAACCGGAGACTTCCTCAGGTTTGCCTTCAGGATAGCCATACGGGACTTCTCATCTGGCAGAGGGATGTAGATTAGCTGATCCAGACGACCAGGACGCAGAATGGCGGGTCTGTTGGTGGCTCCAATGATGAAGACATTCTTCTTTGTAGACATGCCATCCATTTCTGTCAGGATTTGGTTGATAACTCTGTCTGCAGCACCGCCACCATCTCCAATGTTGCCACCTCGTGCCTTGGCTATTGAGTCCAACTCATCAAAGAAGAGTACACAGGGAGCAGCCTGTCTAGCCTTATCGAAGATCTCTCTAACATTTGCTTCAGACTCTCCAAACCACATGGTGAGCAGCTCAGGACCCTTGATGGAGATAAAGTTTGCCTGGCATTCGTTGGCAATGGCCTTGGCCAACAGAGTCTTACCACATCCAGGTGGCCCATAGAAAAGCACACCTTTTGATGGGGTCATTCCAAATTTCAAGAACTTCTCAGGGTGCTCCACAGGGTACTGCACCAACTCCTGAAGTTCTCGCTTCACGTCTTCCAGACCACCAATGTCTTCCCAGGTAACCTGTGGCACTTCTACAACAGTCTCACGCAGAGCAGAGGGGTTACTCTGACTTAATGCCCACCTGAAGTCATCCATAGTGACAGCAAGAGAATTCATCACTTCAGCATCTATAGTTTCATCCTCCAGATCAATCAGGTCCATCTTCTTCCTTATGGCCTGGAGAGCTGCCTCTGAGCATAGAGCAGCCAAATCAGCTCCCACATGACCATGTGTTTCATTGGCAACCTGTTCTAGATCAACATCATCGGCCAACTTCATGTTCTTTGTATGAATCTGTAAAATTTCCAGTCTACCAGTGGCATCAGGGATCCCAATGTCAACTTCCCTGTCAAAACGACCAAATCGTCTAAGTGCAGGATCAATGCTGTTGGGTCTGTTTGTAGCAGCCATGACAATGACATGCGCCCTCTGTTTAAGCCCATCCATTAGGGTTAGCAGCTGTGACACAATGCGGCGTTCAACCTCTCCGTGTGTCTTCTCTCTCTTTGGGGCTATGGCATCCAACTCATCTATAAAGATAATAGCAGGGGCATTTTTCTCTGCTTCCTCAAAGGCTTTACGCAGATTGCTCTCAGATTCACCAGCCAACTTGCTCATAATCTCAGGACCATTGATCAGAAAGAAAAATGCTCCAGTTTCATTAGCAACAGCACGAGCAATAAGAGTTTTTCCAGTTCCTGGTGGTCCATACAGCAAAATACCACGAGGAGGCTTAACACCAATAGCTTTGAAAAGCGCTGGGTGTCTCAAAGGCAGCTCTACCATCTCCTTGATCTGAGCCAACTGCTTCCTGCAACCACCAATATCATCATAACCCACTTCATTCAGGGACTCCTCTTCATCCTCACGTTTAATAGGCTCTCCTTCACAGTGAATTACAGTATCTGGAGCCACTATGCAGTACGGGCTTGGATCTGTCTCCACAACCTTGAATTCCACGGCACGCATTCCTCCACGCACCAAAAAGATGTCACCTTTTCGGATAGGTCGGTAAGCTTCCAGGAAATAAGGCTTAAGATACACCTCAAACAGATTGCCAGTGATTCCTTCCACAGTGTCATCTATGGGTAAAACATGGATTTGTTTGCCATACTTCACATCTGGGCAGGCCTGGATGCTGATCACATCTCCAAGTCGCACTCTCAGGTTATTACGAACAACTCTGTTCATACGGATCTTCTCATCTGAGCAGGTGTCATCTGACAGGACAATGCAAACAGCTTCTCGTCTCTTCTTACCCTTCAAGAGAACGGTGTCTCCTCTAAACAACTGGAGCTCATCCATCTTGCCCTGAGACAGGGACACCACACTGTTGTCCTCATTGATGGCTTCATCAACAATCATCCTGTTGGGCCGGTTTTTCTGCTTGAGAATTGCAGTAGATAAGTCATCTGCTTTGGGATCTGAGCCGGAGGCCATGCCGCTCGCTGTCCGCTCTGCCTGTGGGGGAGATTCTGGGGGGTTCCCGCCGGGGGTCACGTAATGCTCCGGAGCCGCCTCGAGCCGCCGTGTCCGTTACGCGCTGCCTGTCGCCGCTGCCGGTCTCTGACGCTCAGTTTGTCTGTCCGTGCCGCCCCCCGTGCCCGGTCTGACTCTCTGTGTGACTCCATCTAAAACATTTTTAACTAAAATTGTATTTAAATTGGGAACTCCTTTATGTATAATTGTAGGTGTATCTGTTAAAATATCATTCAAAATGGGATCATCCCTGAGTATTGGCCAATGTTTCTTAATAATATTACGCACTTTATAATTATGTCCTCCCGAGAACTGACATATAAATGGGATATTCGGCACCGTATTATTTTTCTTCTTCTCCTTATACTTTAAAATCTCATTTCTTTCTAATTTGTCTACTTTTCTTTTAGCTTCATTTAAAAAACCTTCCTTATACCCACGTTCTTTAAAATCTTTAATAATCTTTTGGCTTTGTTCTAAAAAAATTATTTCTTCTGTGTTTTATAACTGCTTTTCAAAAGCATTTTTAAATTAATTGTTTTTTTTTGTTTTTTTTTAAACTTATCAATTTTTTCCAATTCATCAATTATTTTTTGAACCTCAGATTTTCATGCTCTCAGTTCTATTCCTATTTTGTTTCACCATTATATTGTTCACATTTATATGGATGATAAGTCTTTTTGTGATTGCACTTTTTTGTGATTGCACTTTGTTATGCACCTTTCCCACTGGGACACTCTCTGATAAATAATTACCACTGTTGATTCTAATTATTATTACATTTTATTCATGTTTTATCTATTATATTGTGTTTGCCAAAACTACAATAAGAGTAAGTCTTGAGATATGCCAATTAATAGTTCTCTCTTTTTATCCTTTTTAGGCAATATTGCTTTAAATCATAACTAAATTTAAATCTTAATCAATATTAATATGCTGTGTATCTTTGTGATTTTGTGATTCTATCAATGCCTTTTTGCTGTTCAATTTTGCTTTTTTTTTTTTTTTTGCTGTGTATCTTTGTGATTTTGTGATTTTATCAATGCCTTTTTGCTGTTTAATTTTGCCATGTTATTTATTTTTCTGCCATGCACAATCCTTTAAAGAGTCTTAAATGAGTCTTTAATGACAGCTGTAGATTTGAATCCAAGTCCCATTAAACTTTATGTCAAGATATTTAGTTAATTTAATTGAACAATTGGACTTTTTCAATTGAATTAGTGATAAACCAATCATGAGGGATTGTTGCCCTATTTAAGCCCACAACCAAGATGAAGGTTGTGAGCACGTCCTGAGGAAGCCGATTGGCGAAACGCGTTGACGTCATACAAAGGGGGAGGAGCTTACAGACCACGGAGTCCGGAGGCGTTTGTTTTCTGGCAGCAGACAATACACGAGGAGATTCTCTAGCAGCCGAACAGGAAGAACGCCGGACGAGCAGCCTACCACCCTAATGATTGAACTCTGATAGTGAGTTGACATATATGTGTCAAACTCACCACCTTATCTAGTAAGGGGATTGTCACCCTATTTTTTATCATCATTTTTTATTATTCTATTTTATGTATATATGTACTGCTTTTTCTGCATGTGGCAGATAATAAATTTATGTCAGCTTTTTCCTATTGGGGTTTCACCAAATATTTCTTAAAGTGATACTTCACAATTTATGAATTGTTATAAGTATATATGCTTATATATTTTTTATACAATCTGCACTATCATTGCTTTTTTTCCCCTTTTTTCTTTACATATATACCATTATTGCTGGAAGTTACACTTAAAATCGAAACCAGTTTGTATATATATATATACTCTTTCTTCTGTCTTATATATGGTATAAATTGCTCCACTCACTAGCACCTATTATATATATATTATATTCTTTTTTAGATGGCTTCAGTAGCTTTCTGCTTTCGTATAAATTAACTCCGTCAATTTATTTAATCTTTCTTTTCTGGCATCATTGCCAGCACACGTGTTCAGCTTAGAAATTATTTTTTTTTTTCATAAACCTGCTTTTCTCCTAGTTTCCACGTGCTGAGATGAAATATTACTCAAAGCTCCACTGAGCAGTTAATCATATATGGATTCTCAACACAGACTTGTGCAGCTTCACGGGCTTCTGATGTTTCATTTCATTGTCACTCCAGTTATCCCGTTTGGGCTTATAAATTCCCTGCCTACGTGGTGTTGTCCCTCAATCTTTGCCAGTTTTCTCTGCTCGGTGGTTGGAGCTTCGTCCGACTGCCAAACAAGGTGTGTTCCCTTCCTCCCAGCGTGAGCGCTCTCGTACAAGTGCACGCGCCTATGTCATCACGCCCCCCCCCCCCTGCCAGGCAATAATTATATATCATTCAGGGAATCGTAATGCTTATATTAATCCTGATTGTTATTAAAACACCCTACCTGAGTAGACTTTTTTTTATGTAAGAGAGAATTACATAACTGTATCCTAACAACCTTCCTCCCCCCCCAAAAAAACATATTTTTTTGCACTTCAAGTATACAATATATTGTTTCTAAGGAGCAAGTGGGTCTTATGAGTTTCCTTCAAATGAGGAAAACTTATTTTTTTTAGTACATTTGCATCCTGTTTTAAGCTGCATATATTATAAGCAGTGTGCTTATGCCCTTGTGAAAACTCCTGGAGACTCATTTAAAGAGACACACTTACATTATGACAGCATTTGTGGCCTCTTAGTTGCCTAACAAAAGAGCCGTGTATGAATAGAGGCATAATGGCTGACAAATATAAACATTTCCATTTCTCAGAATTGCAGGAACAGATTCTATGCACCAAAACCACTACAGTATTATTTAGTATTTTTAATGCTTACAGTGTCCTTTGAACAGATTATTTTGGGATGGGTGTTCTTCATTTCCTGGTTTCATGTTCCCTACTCTGACATTTCTTGAAACATAGAGTTTTACATTGGAAATTTAGATATTTCCCATAATACATGCAGATGGTTTGCCTTTTAGCATGAAACAAGCATGCAGGATGTTTATAAGGAGCGTGTGCTAACAGCATATTATAGTAACAGAAAAGTAATAGTTCCAAAAATAGACCTAAGGCACGCAGATTTGTAGACAGTTTAACAAAATCAATGCAGAGCTCTACACTGAGCTTAAAGATTTAAAATTATTTAGTCATTCTTGTTAGGAAAATGGTTTGTGATGTTATGTTGTACCTTGCTGGATAAAGATACATCTGGTTTAATCGAAGGTGGTCAAGACTAATATTTTTAAAATTACATTTAAAACAAAACAAAAAAAAGTTCATGTTTAATGTTGAATCCCACATTTTTCAGTGCAGACTTTGAACAAGCCTGAATTTGGAACTGATTCCAGTTGGACCAAATGCTGCCGGATTGCCTGTAAGAGTGCTTTGATTGGTTGACTTACTAGCTGACTTGTCCCACCTGTACTATAACTATGATGAGGCGGGAGGTATGCTTATTTTTAATTTGGGGAGGAGTTGCTAGGAGCTTGAGGAGCCCTAAAACACTAGGCTTGAGTGAAATAATTATCCTCACTTGGGAGGATGAATAATGGCTGCTCAGACACTAGTTTTTTTTTAGTATTTTAGTACGCCCAAGGGTGCCCAATAGCTGCCGGCTGGCCACCTTAAGGCCCCACCGAGGTGGGCGGTCTTGCATATTGTAGGTGGGTGGCGAGGGAGCTGTCCTGTGATCTTCTTCCTTTGCTTCCTCTTGCATCTTTTGGTGATGCCAGGAGCTGGAATATGACTTCACTTCTGCTCTGGCATTACTAAACAACACGCATGGTAGTCGAACAAGAAGATCAGAACAAAAAAAGGTGTGAAAAAGAGCGTATGGTCAATGTAACCCCCATATTACTATAAGGAAAGTTATAAAGTTATACCCTTGACACATGGCTAACAAGGCATCTGCTAAAGTTGCATTCTTGCTGCCACCAGGAAAGTAACAAACTTCATCCAGACTCATTCACAATGCAAATTACTGTGAGTTTTATTGCTGTGGAATTCTTTAAAACATTCAGGCTGTGCTTATGACATAGTAATTTAAAGGTGTAATTTAATCTCTGGCGGCACGGGACTTTAATTCTGTACCCGCAGCAGTTCAAACTGAAACGCTGCGCATACAGACTCCAAGCACCATGACCACTTAAAATTACTGAAGTGGTCATAGTTCTTGAAGTAGCCCTTTAAAATGTGTGTTGGTGGTTTTAAATAGTGTTTAACACAATTCTATAGGTTTTGCCTTGTGTATATGTTATGTAAACAAAACAAAAAAAAACAAAAAAACATTACATAAACTGCCTATTGTCAGTGTTTTGAAACTACAGAATTTCTATGTATTGGTAGTATTTTAAGTCACAATAATTAATGATATCCAGTGTTTGTGAAAGCCTGATTGGGAAATCCATACAGGAAAGGGCAGAGTTGTCTTTTCAGGCCCCTAATGTCCCTAGGCGGATCCAAGTCAAATAGAACTATTACAAACAAATCCATCCAAACTGACTCTTATGTATTTTTTGGATTTGCTACAAAACATTCCATAGGGTAGGAGAGCTCTCTTGCTGTATTGACTGCCATATAGAACCAAATCTGTTTCATTTCAAGTGCAATGCTTCCTGGTCTTTCCCTTCCTCCTTTTGTTCACTGGTTCCCCTCACCCTTTCCATGACCTATTTCCAGCTTCCCCCAAATCCAGCTACCCTTGTGAAATGCATTTGTCCCAATCTTTGGTTGGGATGCATTCATAGGTACTCCACAATATAATGACTTGACTATGACTTGTTTTTTATATTCCCAATGCTTGACTTTTAAAGGCTTGTGCAATTTCTTATTCTTAGAAGTTTTTAACCCCCGGATTCCTTTCCACTCCTTTTGCTTGCATCATGTATCTTTGCAAAGTGATCAATAAAAATACAATTAAAATACACATATGTTTCAATCTATGTTTCCATGAATCCTTCATAAACTTTTTGCATGACTTATTTAGCCCTCTTGTCTCTCTCCTCACTCTCCTCTGTCAATTCTATCTACTGCACACAGCCACCTTTGCTCTGCCAGCTCCCTCTTAACCACTATGACATCAGTTCACAATCTGGTTATGTGGTTCTACCATTTTCTTTAGGTAACCTATGACTTAAATAAAT